AACATGACATTAAAAGAACATTCCTCACGTAAAACTCCTTACTATAGAAACATTAAAAAAGGCATTCGAATTTTACCATTTTTGCTTTGATGTTACTCAGTAAAAAGGCAATTTACATATAGCTTCGTCAGCGGAATATCTACTTCAAGTGCTTTTAGGCAAACTAATATGTATCTTTTGTTGTGAAGGTTACTATTTCTTGGCAAAGAGTTTTCCTGTTTGGGTGCTTCTGCGAATATGACCCAAACAGCAATCTTCATAAGAACTGATAAGATCCATAGAGAGGCGCTTTGAGTTTTGATAACACATGGTTTGATTGTATACTATTATATGTTAGCTTGCTTTTTCGATACATTGTCACGAAAAAGGACTAGGACTACATCATCCGTCTTCCATACAATTGATTTTTTTTCTGTAATAAATCACTGCCCCTCTGACCATTTCATTTACTACTTTGCCTGCTTCAGATGTCTCGGCTTGGGTAGGCCGTTTATGCTGGAAATTTCAAACTACGCCCACACTCTAGCCTCCATGCTTACTGAAGAGGGCAAACTTCTTGGAGAGAAGACGCCAAGTGACAATGCCAAAAATGGCGCCGATGATATCGATGCCAGTCAACTTTTATCCGCTCCAGGCGATCTCTCCTGGATGGCCCGTAGAATCAATCTGTCGACAGACTGTCGTGTCTTCGTTCGCGATCTCCAGGTGCGTTCGATCATAATTTTGTCGCAGGTATAGCCTTTCTGTTCAATAAGGGCTGACGAAATTGCGGGGTTTCGCCACTCGCTTCATTCAACTTTCTGTTCATGCCTGAACTGGAGGTGGCGGTTGACCATGTTAAATGGCGCTGAGCATTGCTACTTAGTAGCGTTACAAGGCTTCTGTCCTTCCCCTGAAACAACATTTTGCGTTAAAGATTTGCGAACGCGTGGTCTTACCCTCCCCCTCCAATTTGATACATACCTTTTTTTCATATATCAGATGGTTGACTACAGCTCATGTGATAGTTCAACCACTTCCTTCAAGACTTACAGTAGATTACATATCTGATGAAAGGTTGGAGGTTAAGGGACTTAACACACATTTGAGGTTAATTATTTAGTTCATTGAGTTGACGTGA